TGATGCTGATGCTGATGCTGATGCTAATGCTGATGATGATCATGACGATGATGATGATGATGATGGTGATGGTGATGATTTGGGCTTCGTCGCTCGACGCTTGACGTGAAACCAAGCGTAAACAGCTTAGCCTATTGAACATGAACACTGGCAACACCGCACCTCCTAGTTCACTGGCATGTCGGGATGGGAAAGTTGAGGCAAAGCACCGTCACACACACCGCAATCCACCTTTTACCTGTTTTACAACCTGACTTAACTGCGGCCAGGACTCTGGCACCCTTGTATTTGAGACAGGTTGAAACACCAGGAAGCCAAGGCCAAAACCATCGCTGGGCTGCCGAAGGCCACAGAGGAGATGGCACCTCGCTCGCTGCGAAGCGAGGGGAGGGCAAAGCGAAAGCTGTCAGGGCACCAAGGAACAAGCGAGGCCGCGCTGAGACCCGGCTACTTCCACTTCCCTGTACCTACAGGAGGAGTCAGAGGAGTGAAAGTGTGAAAGCCTTGCAAGGACGCCGCAAAAACCTGCCAGCCCTTCGAGACGACCGAGGGCAGTGCTGGTGACTGGGAGCGGCTGTGCGTGCCCTGCCGCAGGCGTTTGGTGCGATGACACCAAGCACAGCGATGCAGGATTTCAATTTCTGCTTTTTCAAGCTCTCATGCCGAAGCCTCTAACCAGCCAAGCCTTTCAGCTCACACCTGCCCTGCTGAGAAACAACATGTTGACGCACGTCTGACCGCCGAGAGTCAAGCGTGCAAAAGACAGCCACTCAGGAAAAGGTGCAGAATAAACGCAAACCTGCCAGCAAGATCCCAACACTAAGCGAGTGCAGCCGCAGCCTTAGCCTTCGATGCGCTGTGATCGCCTCCTGGCTTGTGCCCCTTCGCGGATCCTTGTGTTGCGGCCTGTTTGTCGGTGTTTAGGATCCTTTTCTCCCAACGAGGAGGGTCGTCACGGCTGCTGTGTGTTTGCCACCGGTTGACAGGGCCGTGCATGTTGAAGGCTTCTTCCAGTTGCAACGGCACGGTTTGCTGCCTCCAGACTCAACGAACTGAGCCAACGTTTCATTTGGGCATCCGTTGTATGAAACGGTGTCTCGAAAAACTAGGGCGCTGCAAAAGGAGCAGCAGCTCGTGAAACGGTCGGTCACACTTCCGATTTTGTGCTCCGACGCAGACAGACCTTCAAACCATGCCGAAAGGTAGTTGGCATGAGCTCGGCTTCAGGCATGTCGAGGCATTTGGCATCATTTGGAATGATCCTGAGACAGGTGGAGAAGCACACTTCTCCCCCACGCCGTAACCCAGTCACGTGCACCCACGTCGCCCCGTCCCCGTCAACTCAACGGCTTGCACGCATCTGCACACTGGAGTCCTGGACCTCTCACGAGTCCCCCACAACCATCCGATGTAACAGGCATGCATGTGCAAGCAAGCTCACATCATGAAGCTCTTAGCATGTCAGCTTTAATCGGGTTTCTGTGGGAATGATGTGCAGCTTGTACCATGCAACCTAAGTTGCAAGAAGTTGTAGGGTTTCTTCGCTGGTGAAATGAACTGGAAGCATGCGGCTGCTGCCAATAATCACGCTGATCTACTGGGTCGTGCTGGCCTCGACCTCCGATGACCAAGCTGCCGTCGCCTGACAGTGCGAATCTTCTCGAGGATATCTGTCAAGTTCGAAGACCTAAGATTCTAGGCCCCTAGACTCCCCTAAACTCCAGGCCCTCCAGAGGCAGCTGGGATGGCGGCTCTGGATCTTCCCAGGGCGGGCCTGACAAGGTCCAAAGAGCCCGCAAGAAACAGAGAAGGGCTCCGGGGCCTCAAAGCTGTAGGTCCAGCAGGAAAGCCCTGACAACACCGCTCTGAATACAGAACTTGGTCCCATGCGCTTGCAACCTCCTGCGCTAGATTTAGACTTAGATGCAACGACTTTCGAGAATGGACGCACACCGTGCCTGCAACCCACGCCTCGATCGAGTGAGGGGAGACCTTGGCAGGTCCGCGACAGCCGGGAGAGCCCTGTCAACTTCCTACCATCTTCGCACAATCGAGCAAGACTCGGGAGGCGGCGCCGTGACTCGGGCAGACGACACAGCTTTGGCATGGCCTCGGAAGGCAAAAACCAGAAATGTCGCAAGAATCCCGAAAAGCACACAGCACGGGTGCGCTACTTGGCACCGGCTGGGATGTACGAGCAGACACCTGAGCTGCGTGACAACACAGGGAGACTGCAAAGTCGTTGAAGGAAGACCTCGCACAAATGGAATGCCGGCACGGACTTACACCGTAAAATCCGTAAATCAAACCATCTCGAGCGGCTGCAGCAAACGTCGAAGCTACTTGCGGAGCAGGTACTCCTGTAGCACAAGATTTGAACTCGATCGAAATCGTGAACTCAACTGAGCCGGCCTCCACTCACACTGGCGCTGGAGGACGGGACCGCTGGCACCTCAGCAGTCTCTTCATGAAGCTAGACCTCAGGGTCGTGACTTTCAAGCGGCGCACAAGAAGCAAGTCCACGGCCTGGCAAGCTGCCCATCGGCAAGCCCAAACAAGAATTGCAGCAACCCGCGATCAGTGCCTAGTCCCCTGCCAAGACTGATCCTGCCTGGTTGTTCAACCGACGAAGCAGCCTGGAAAAGCAGGAGTTTTGCCAACTCATTAGCATTTCCTCAGGACGGACTAAGGACTTGGCCACTCTTGCTTCTCGAGTTGTTGCACCGTGATGACCACCTCAACATGCCAAAAAATTGCTAACAGGAGTCAAGCAGAGAGCTTCGTGCGCCTGATCGGACACGCTCGAGTAGGTGTAGAATGCCGATAGCCAGCCATGCAAAGCTTCGTAGCATTCGTTAACCTCCATAACACATCATGCTAAGATCACACATGCAGTGTGGCAGCAGCAGCGTTGTCTCGCCTCTTTCTCTCGGACACGCCGAAATTGAGAGCCGGACCTCACGGGACTGCGTTCGCGTCCGCTGGCCAGAGCTCACCCGCTACGAAGCGCTCTCCATGAACGCTCCGCGGTCGCTCCGCGGTCGCTCCGCGGTCGCTCCGCGGTCGCTCGAGGCGAGAGCGTCAGGAAGGGTGCCAACTTCTTTGCCTCGCTCTGCTTAAGCCACAACAAACAGCCGCCATGCAGCGCCAAGCCTCATCCGAAGAGAAGGCTGCCATGCCGCACAGCTTCGATGTAAAACTGGCAAGACACAGTGCAGCTGCAAGCTAACAAGCTTGCAAGATCCCCCCATGCTTTCAATGTTTCACTCCTCGCTTGTCTGTTCCTTCGCACATTTGCATGGTCGCCAGCATTACAAACGATAAGATATGTGCCGCATCTTGTGTCAAGTCTTCAAACTTTCCCACGGTGAGGAATCGGTGAACTCTTCCGCGCGGATCCGGTGTTACAGGAAAGATAAAGATAATGGGGAATGTCTCCCCTCTGCGCTGTTCTTGCTTTGTGGCTTTCGTTATTGTAGTCATGTCAGCTCTGGGTGCTGGTCCTTGTCGTCCTGAACCGGCGCATGACCGGAGCAAGGCTTTTGAAGGAGATTTGGGGGTCTTGCAGAGGCTTTGATCTCAGGCCTGTGGAGTCTCTTGACGCAGTCATATGTCTCAGAAGATGGTGCACGACAGTCCCTCAGCTCAGCTCGCCTCTGCTTTGCGAGATTCAGACAGCTTCTCAGAAATCACTATGCGGTCCCATGCCGCACCTGTGAGGATCTCGGAACAGCTTGCGAGCTCCGCTGAGCAATGCCTCTGCCGTGAGCGACGGGACCTCTGCGACTGACAGAGAGGTATCGCGTCTGCTTCAAACGAGACAGCAAGCAAGCTCCGAGTGCTGGCCTCCACCTTGAAGATGGCAAGCAGACACTGCATCAGCCTCACGATTGCCTCCTGCACCGGCATTTGAACCCAAGAGTCAAGGAGTTTGCTGCATAATACCAGCTTGACACATTTTCTGATGAACTCACATATGTCACACGGGTAAGGGGAAGTGGCTCTATTGGGCACCATATCACGACAGCCATAAAGGTGGCCGTAAGTTTCGGGAGCTCGGCGGGTCAATTCAGAGCTCGCAATGCATGCTGTCCTGAACCTGCATGGCCAAACCTAAGCTTCGTTCGATTATTGTCCGTCTGTGGATGCCACGACCGATCCAAACGGAAAAAGTGGCCTGCTTTTTTCTAGCTGGGTCAGGCAAGCAACTTGGCTCGCGCAAGTTCTTCTCCAAATACGATCGCAGCTGAAACCTCAAGATCAAGTGACTAGCGTGGAAAGCAAGTTCTTGCAGTCTTCAAGACTTTAGCTTCCTGAGCCAGCTGCACTGCGTGTGGCGAAAGTCGTCGCAACTGAGCTTCAGCTCGAGACAGCTGGCTTTTAAGTTCCTGGTTGGGTGAAAGGTGCAGCTTGCAGGAGCGTGTCTCGCATGCAGGCATTCGCAGCTTGCTGGAGCCGTTTCTCCGACAAAGCACAACTCGGCGGCCAAAGACTTGGTCTGACCGGCCGGTGGGTTGTATTCAATTCACGTGAAACAGGTGGGATTGACAAAGCCTCCAAGTTGAGTGCGACTGAAAGCTGCAGCATGTTCTCACACAGGATATTTGTCGACCCTGCATCCTTCGGATAAATCATAAAGCGACGCAGGACATATACGGTACTGTCATGGCATGCCACCCCTCACAGGTCACCACTTGATGTGGTTGATGTGACTTTCGAGTCACTCCTTGGCAGCCATGGTGCCGCCGTATCAACATCTCATGTTTTATGTAGACCGTGCTGGGGCATCTGCCGCTTGGCAAGTGTCGGGTCGTGTCCCGTCAGATGCCGAACCTGTCGAAGAGCATCTGTACCAATGAAGACTGCTCTTGCAACGGCACCGTACTTCGACTAGGCAATGTATCCGCACCGTGTTGTGCACAAAGTCCTCTGTCATGGCCGCTATTGTGGCCACCTTCACAATGTATGTTTGGCTACTTCGGCAAAAAGACTCTGCGATGAGATGCTCTGAGCATTCAGGATCCACCTCGCGCTCAATTACGGTGAACTTGTTGTCAAGCTTGTCCAGGCGATTCGCCAAGGTGCCCATGTTCACCTGTCCAGTGTGCTGTACATGTGGTGCCCTCACGTGACTGCGTGGACGAATCCCATTCATGGCACAGCCTCCACTTGGGCGATGTCTCGGCGCTTGCCTCCTCCAACCAGCCTCAGACGACGAGTGCTTGTTCATCAAGGCAAAGAGTGTAATTTAACACATGTGTCTGCAATGTCTGCAATGAAGGGAGATCGACGAGTGATTTCTTTGGCCCACTAGCTTCTCAGAGAGCCGTGTCGCAACATGAGTGCAAGGAGGGAAGTTGACTTCAGACTGCATTCTAATCACCACAGGAGACATGCGAACTATGAAAGACAGATGTTGTTGCGAAGGGTGCCGTGTCGCCGTACTTCCAAACTCACTCATCGTCACGCGCAATCTTGATCAGTCGATCCAAGCACTGCCGAACCATGCTGTCCTTGACTCTGGATCCCTGGCACAAGCCGTTGAACAACACGCTGAAACTCTGCCACTAAACGAGTCAAATCACAGCAAAACCGCTGATTGGCACATGAAACTTGGAATGGGTCCGCGGCAGGCCAGTATCGAGATCAAGTTCAGTTTAGCTGTAAGAACAAAACCGAGGGTGGAGAGCCATTGCTGGTCTGATCGTAGACCCGGCTGAGATTGAAGAGCCAACCGGTCCAATGAAGTTCACCCATGCGATGGAAGTCTTAGCTCCGTGCTCTCGGCAGGCATTTTCCTCAGGAAGATGCGCGCACATGTCCCAACGGCACGCCCGGCACGAGTTGAAACCCTAGGCCCTAAGCTGCAGAACAAAGCCAGAAGTACACCTCTGGGGATCACGAGCATTCCCAAGGTATGAGCGCCACACGAAGCGCACAAGCTCGATCTTCCCAGAGCGATCCACATCCAGCAGTGTGAAAACGTGTTCCACCTCGGCTTCAGAGGTTACCGGGCAGTGCCATTGTTGCACGGAAGATTCCCCGCCTCTTCGAATTCCAAGCCGATGGACTCGAACTTTTTCTGAACGATTACCTGCCAAGCTTTCGTTCTCGGTATAAAACGACCGCAGGACGCCCCTTGCAGAGCCAGAGGAGGAGCGAAACTTAGGCTCGACCAGATCCGATTCGTTGCCAAGACACGCTCTGGTTTGCCGCACGCAAGTCCTGAAAACAGCAGGTGAACAATGCGGGGGTTTCCAGCCTACAGAAAAATATGTTGCTCCGAAGCTGTGCATCCCTCCCCGTGCGAACCCAACAGACACTTCGGAAACTGTTGAATCGGTTGGGTGATGATACCGAAAACTGCTGACGGTGCAGCATTCGCTGCCAGAATATTATGGTCCCTCTCGTTGCAGCTAGACATAAACTGACCAGAAACAGACTTGCCTCGAGCGAAATCAACCCACTTCTCTTGGAATCAGACCTGGCACGTGCAGGCGAAACGATTGATCGGATCATAAAACCTGCAGTGAACACGAGACCCCATCAGACTCATTGATGAACACAAGAAAAGGTGGCAACCACTTGATATTGCTGAAAGTCATAGTGCGGCAACTACAGCATGTGTAGCCTAGACTTCACCTTTCTCCCCGGCCTGGACAAGATCGCGACCAGCTGTTGGACGGTGTCCTGTTACTGTAAATGCTGTTTGGTGACGTTCACCATCGCTCGATTACATTAAGAATCGTTCCGTTGCTTTGGAGTCTTTTTTGAGGCGATGGCGATGACACAAACACTAAAGAGCATTGAAAGCTTCAACACTTCAGCTCAAATCCGTGTCACCGTGTCTGCAGAGTGCATTCCGGTCGAAGCCGGCGCTTATGTGTGGCGGTGCCAGCTCTCGCAGCACATCGTAACTCGGTTCAAACCTTTGCATCGCAAAGTGTTGTCGTTACCAGCATTACCGCTCAAAGAGTTGCCTCTTCCCAGCCATGTTCCGAGAAGCTTATGCAGGTGAATGAGCATCCTCTGTGTTGCATTAGAGAGCAGCTAGAAATGCTCACTGAATTCTTTGGAATTCCACTCGCGTGCAAAAGACAGACACCACTCTAGAATCAAGCCTGTGGGATCTGCTCATCTAGTAGATTCACGAGCAGTCCTTGCCCTGCTGCTGTTATATTTCACACACAGTGACACACACACACACACACACACGGAGTTCTCTCATACGGAGATACTGGGAGAGCTCCTTGCGGTGTCTCGCCAGTTTCTCTTCCTTTCGTTTGTCAACCACCTGCAGTCATGTGCGAGTCAACAGCATCAGAAAAACACACTGGGTTCAGGCATCCGGAATATGGGATTGGACACGTGTGCAGTGCGCACACACTCCATGGACATATTGCCTGGGCAGCTGCCAGTGTGTTCTCCACAATGATGCCGACGACCACATTCCTCGTCAACACCGTAGAGACTGCATGCGCACATACGACCCAAACACAAGCATGTCAAGCAGTGTTCCAAGGAAGGCGCATCAAACCAAAGGATGTCAGTAGTATGAAGCAGATGAAAAAGACCTTGGGGTCAACGGCTCAACAGGAATTCACCACTGTGTTGTGCATAAACGACACTTCCCTGTGCCGAAAGGACACAGGTGGCATCAATCAGCATCAATGTCCCAATGCATTTGCTGCTTGAGTGCTTGTATTGTGCCCAGCTTGCAAGACTGGCCTTAGAAAGAGTGTACTGGCTGCATCGAAGAAAACAAGGAGATTTTGTGCAGCCAATAGACGCCCATGATCGGCTGTCTATAGACGACATGACGTACTATGTCGTCACACCAGCCGTCCAGCGTCAGCACCTTGCACTAGAGCAATTGGAAACCAAGATCTCATCTACTGGCGACAGAGCAGCCTGCCTGCAGTAAAGTGAACATGGACCTGCCGTGCTGGGGCTGGGATGGAAAGCCAAACGCATAGTTTGATCGGCACGCAGGCTGCTCGGCTGCTCCTCTCATCCTTCCTGTTCGAACGAGTTCACGCACGTGGCCTGAACACCGTCCCGAAATACTGCTTGTAAGGCCACACCTGCATGGACATGACATCAAGATCGATTGAGCTCATTGCTCATGTCTCAACAGGAACTCGACTGCGATGCCTCCCCATTGTAGGATGGGCCAATCGCATAAGTTTCATCCTGCAGCGGAGGGGTCTCCGACAGGATGACAGGCAGTTCCGAAACATCGTCTCCGAGCCCGAAGCATTTTGACCAATCTCCGCAGTGCAGATGATGCCACAAACCTGAAGAACTGTCATGATGCTTGCGATCTACACATTCCGAAGTCAACCCACACATCTGCATAGAAGGCTCGGGGGATCTTGGGGAGTTGGGCTTCTGCCTTCAGCATTTCGTTGGCTTCGACAAGCATTGAGACGGAATCAGCTTCTTACGCTGGTGACAGCCCGGTCGTCGTGAGCTTTGTTCTCTTGGTTCGGGGTCTGCGCTTGAGGCTGTGAGTTTGAGTGAATGCAACCGTCCAGTCATGAAGAATCTACGCACAAACATACCACGACAACGAGTTCTTTGACAACGGGCCCCCGCTCAAAGGAATCTTCAGGCGCAGACATGCACTTCAAAGGAGCTTAGGGCTTGCCTGGCCTACCCATTGGGAGTCGAAAAAGTTGCAAGAGCAGTTCTGAGATGTTAAGATTGTTAAGTAGTCTGAGCGAGAAGTAAGGTGCAAGCATATATCAGCATGAAGACCACGAGACCCACCCACCTGAGTTCGAAAACAGCTATTGCCCGTGCAGTGCTCCAGCACAAGCATGTCGTGATGACTGGGGCCAAGGTTCACACGAGAGGGCCTTCACGGAATTCGTAAGGCCTAGCCACGACCGCTTGTGTCTCACACGCCGACGCGACTGCTGCTGTAGGCTCGGGACCTCCCACGAGCAGCCACAGCTCTCGGAAAGCTGAAAACATTCGAACCTCAAGGAAACCCAGCAAATGGCAGGAAAAAACCGACAGAAACACATAGCGACTGGAGCCAGGCCAGCTGTGCCGTGAGCTTGGCTTGTTTCCGAGAGCCCGTTAACGGTTCAGCACCCCTTGAGGCAACGACGAGGCGCACGAATCGTATGACCCGCAGCCTCGGATAAGGGGATCCGCGACAATGCACTTTCAAACTGAATCAACTCTGTCGTGCGGTGCAGGGGTAGAGTGTTAATATGTCTATATACGGTGAAGTCGTCATTGACACTAGGAAACCGTATTCCCCCATGCCGAAGCAACGGAAACCACTGGCGACCCACCCCTGATCGAAGCCAGGAAGCAATGAACAGAAATCGGAGACTTTGAACCCAAAAACCTCCAGCAGTCCAGCAACAAGCAA